TCGCTTTATGATTGCCCCGCATTATGACAAAACCGCATTACGATGATCTTCTTGCGATTGCCATTGCGATTGCAAAACGATGGTCTGAATGGGGTTTTTTTTGCTTTGCAATGATCGGTTCCCTGCTTCGGGAACTGATTCTTTGCAAAACGACGATTTTCCTCCAGCTGATCGGCGGTTTCAAAATGGCCGCTGGCTAAATAAAATGGCTCCCCGCTGTTTTCTGGGATGGATTCCTTGCAAGACAGCCACCGAAAATGGCCGCCCTATGGAGGATCTTCGCTGGACGGTGAGTTTCCAGCCCATTGGAACACATTGAAGGGGTTTCAGTGCATTTCAATGGGCTTTTTATTTTCGCATTATGACGTTTTTATTCTACAGCGATTTCGCTGGAACGAATTAATGTCATAATGCGAGGCACCACTGTACGTACGTAGTACGTACGTATGTACGTACGTACTTACATACATACATACATACATACATACATACATACATACATACATACATACATACATACATACATACATACATACATACATACATACCCTTCAGGTGACAGATTTGGTAATGGGACTTCATGTTAATGTTCCTATTAAGACTTTTTAATATTGACGGCCATATCCCTCAAGGATAATCAGTTGGTGGCTGTGTGCAGTGGGTGGGGTTGAAGCCGCTGGTGAACAGAGTTAAAAAAAGGAGAACCCACCCCTTCTCTTTCTCTGTGACACAGACATGTAGTGTCTCTCTCTCTCTCTCTCTCTCNNCTCTCTCTCTCTCTCTCTCTCTCTCACACACACACACACACACACACACACACACACACACACACACACACACACACACTCACACTCTGTCTTCCTCTTTCTGTGGTTTGAAATTAGGCAGAGGGCTGCATGAAACCATGGTGGAGGCCATGTGCATATAATTATAGCAAGAGGAATGTAGAGCCAATGGTGGTTGGTGGGCTGGAGCTAGTGATGGGCAGAGAAGAGGCAAAAGTAACATCTCTCTCTCTCTTTCTCTCGCCCCTCTCATTAATACAGAGAGAGAGATTCTGACTGTGTTAAGCCAGCAGGGCATAGTGGGAATGGCTGAGGGGTGCCTTTATATGGGGCAGCCATTGACCAACAGCTTGTCCCTGCTTTCTGCTGGCTTAAGGAAAACATTCCTGCTGTCAGCATGCTTTTACCATTACGTGTCAGAAAACAAGATCATTTGGCACTTTTGAGCATTATTTCCTCGGCCCTGCTGTCTTTAGTGCTAGATCTGTTGAGTCCCCTGCCTCCCCCCTCTTCCCCCATTTCATAGATGGATGTATCTGGTGGTTTTAATTAGCTCCATCCTTGTAAACCCATCCACTTGCTGCTGTTTTGTGACTGTAATTGTGGCCTTAATTCTTCCAGGACTATGTGCAGAGGAGATAATTCGATCCTGGGACAGCTGAAAGCTGAGAGTAAGTGCTTTTCCTTGCTCACTGTGTGCTCCGTACGGTTGGGCCTCGAGGACACTAAAGTTTGATTGATGCGCTATAAAGCACACGTTAGCTGGCATAATTGCTGGATTGTATAACCAGTAGCGCAGGAGGCCTCAATTATGTCAAGGAGATCTTCAGAATAAGGAAAACAAATGAACAAAACAACATCTGGGTGTCTGACAAGAAGAGAATAAAAGCTGCGGTTTTCAGCATCCCTTTGGATGCCTCTGAAAAAGAATTATTTTTTTCCTGTCCCACCCCTCATATTTGGTACTGGTGCCATGACCAGATCCCCAACTCAGTGGTTCCCAACTTTGGGTCCTCAGATGTGTTCTTGGACTACAATTCCTAGAAATCTTGGCCAGCATAGCTAGTGGAGAAAGCTCCTGAGAATTTTAGTCCAAGAACATCTCTGGAGATCCACAGTTGGGAACCACTGTCCTGGCTCTTTAGTCTAGAAGACACTGGTGGGTGTGAGTAATGGGGTGAGGTTTGGTTATATGGAAGGTGTCCTCCTTGCAGAGGGCGGTCTTCTTTTGGAAAGGCTTTCAGAAAACAGTCTTCCATTGGAATGTTTGAAGGGCTGCTCATTCCAAATCCAGTTTAAAGATCTAAAAGTATTATTATGATGGGGCTTTGAAATTGGCCATCAACAATTACAAACAGGAGGGTAGATGAGGTGGACATGATGTTTGTTTTAGCACATCTTCTCCGTTATAATGAGATGTAATGTGTTTCCTTTCATCTTGTAATTTTTTCTCCTTAAGATGCACTTGTACACGTGTATTTTCACATACCCATTTATTGCAAATCCTTTTTGGCCATTCAAAAGGGCTGGCAGTGTTGGCTGTGCTGGGTGATCAATGCAAACAATGCTTATTTCTTCCTTGCTTTACCTAAACCTGAAGAAAGTTAATTTTTTTTTTTTGCACTGGCACAACCACCAGGTGGTGGATTCTGGAAGCTGCTGTTCAAAAAAGTAATGCTTCTAGGCTCTGATCTTGTGCATGTGGAAAACAGAGCCTAGGAGAACTACCTTTTTAAACTACAATTCCCAGAATTACCCCAGCCATCATGGCAATAGTAGTGCAAAGAAGTTGTACTCAGAACACGGTCAAACAGCCCGAAAAACCTATAACAACCATTGGATCCCGGCCGTGAAAGCCTTCAAGAATACACAAAGAAGTAACTTTTCCAATCAGTGTTTTTACCTTTGGGTTACATCAGTTGTGCGGTATAAGGTAGAATATACCAGATGGATGGGATATAAAAAGAAGTAACTTTTCCAAGCAATGTTTTTGTCTTTGGGTTACACCAGTTGTAAGGTATAAGGAAGCTATATCCCTTGATAGCTGAATCCATATGACAAGGTATTCATCATAGGAGTGATTTTCAACTTGTAGCAGGGTTAACACTTTTTAAATCAAGCTATATCTCTTGAGAGCTGAATCCATATAACAAGGTATTCATCACAGGAGTGATTTTCGACTTGTAGCAGGGTTAACACTTTTTAAATCAGTGATTCCCAACCTTGGGTCCCCAGATGTTCTTGAACTTAAAAATCCCAGAAGCGTTCAGCCACTAGCTGTGCTGGTCAGGAGTTGTAGTCCAAGAACATTGGTGAACCACTGCCTTAAATGAAGGAAATGCTATGACACATGAGTAGCACTCCCTGTTCAGGAACAAGGGCTGAAAGACCAAAAGAAAATGAAAGTGACATGGTCACTTTAAGCCGTATTTTGCTTAAGGTGATGGTTTCCTGTTACTGTTATTAGTAGTAGTACAACCTCTGTACAGCTTCTTCTACTGCTGTTATTTGATACTCATTCACCAGGATTTAAAACAACAGCACAATAACAAAGTTGTGAGTTGTTTTATCAGTCAGTGAGAATTCCAGCTTATTGAAGGTTAGCAGTAGGGTTGTGGTTTGAGATCAGGTTTTGTTTATACATCTTGTATATCTTGAATCCAATGAGAAATCTAGTATCTCCTTAAATGGGCCAACTGACAACAAAAGTATGTTACTCCTCCTTCCTCGCATCGTGGTTCATTGAAAAATGGCATGAGACATTTTTTGTCCTAATATCATACAGTGGGGAGAAGGCTGACCGATGTGAAAATTCACTAGTTTCAACGAGATAATATTTTTTCTTTAAAAGAAGAACAAAACCAAAGAACTGGTCTATGGTTAGTGATTTAAATACAGGAATATTGCTTATAGCTCTGCAGGTATGATAGAATGTGAATGCTATTGGATTCCATGCAAATTCTGGAACAAAACAAGAGCCAGGAACTAAAATGACCCATCTTTGTATGTGAGAGTTAACTACCATGTTTTGGTGGTAGTAAGAACTATGTGATGAAGGAATCCTAGGCATGTATCCAGTGGCTAGTCCCAACCACAATAAACCTATTGAAACAATCACTGGATGAAAACCAACCCTTGTGGCCATTGATTTCATGGGGTCTACTCTGTTTATGACTAGCAGTTGAATTATAACCATAGAATCATGGAGCTGGAGGGGGTCACCTAAACCTCAAGCATCCTAGCAGATGCCTTAAAGGCCTGAGCATAAAGATGTCCATCAGAGAAGGTCCTACTGATCCCTTAAACCAATGTGTTGTTGAACTACTTTAAACATTTGCCTTAAAGTTCAGCCAAAATCTAGTCTCCTGTTACTGAAATTCTGTAGATTGTTTGTTGCATCATGATGTTTTGTCATTCATAAAGCCTGTCTCTTTTTCTCCCCTCTTTTTTTCACCCACTACACTTTGGGATCCTTCAGTGGGAGATCAATGGATTAATTACATCTCGTTCTGTGGACTTCGAAACTATGCTGAGCTAGAAGGGAAACTTATCACGGAGTTGATCTATGTTCATAGTAAGATGATGATCGTTGATGACAACACAGTCATCATTGGTAAGTGAGGAAGTTTGTTTGCATGTTTCTGTATTGAGAAGAATCCCAATTAAAATCTATCTGTAGCTTTTGGAGGGTCAAACCCAAGGACTTGTGAAGCATAATTATTAATAGATGTTAAAGGATCAGCTACCTTGTCTTAAAAGATTTTTATATAGTCTTTTAATCTATCTGGAAGAGAGCACAGGAACTCACTGAGGAAACAGAGTTAAGCAAGGGTGCCCCGTTTAATTTCCAGGTGTCTTATATTGTAAGGCTGTGATATCTATCAGAGTACTTTAGATCCAAATGCATCTTGAAGTAGGTCCAGAATTGTTTGATTCCATCTTTAAATTTTTTTGATGGTGGTTGTTTCACTTAACCTTATGCAAGGAACAACAAAGCTCAACTATCGCAGCCAATATGTGTGGTTGCTCCTAAATCCAACTACATTCTTAATTCTATTGAAGTAACTCATTACAAATAACAAGTTACTACAAAGTAATTATTTTGAAATTTTTAAAAGATAAATTATATTTTTTTACATAGGAATAATTCCTTTTGCTATGGAAGACTTAGGGGTTTATTTATTTCAATAGTTACAAGGGGTGTGCTGCTTTGTTGTTGAGGTGTATTTTATCCCACATAGGACAGTATATGGTCTCTGTTGTTGTTTTTTAGCATCTGAAAAGACTCAGTTACCTTTGAATTATGAGAAAATTAAGTTACATTACTTTTTAGAAATTAAATACATTAAGTTGCTGTTGCCCTGTTTCCCCTAAAATAAGACCTAACGTGAAAACAAGCCCTAGTATGATTTTTCAAGATGCTCGTAATATAAGCCCTACCCCCAAAATAAGCCCCAGTTAAGTGAAATCCCACCCTCCACTATTGTGCAGCAACCAGAAGAAGATGACATGGCTATATTTGAATAAATGTAGATTGTTGTACAATGTACATGGAAAAAAAATAAAGAATCCCCTGAAAATAAGCCCTAATGTGTTTTGGAGCAAAATTTAATATAAGACCCTGTCTTATTTTGGGGAAAACACGGTAGTAATGTCTTATTTTCTGGCAAAAGTATCCAGAGTAATATGAAAAATAAATTCAGTACCTTGACAAATATAGTAAAACACATGTAAATCACTCCCTTCTACTTCTGAAACTTTGAGACCCCTGCTGAAAACCATGGAAACATTTCCACCAGTTCCATCTTGTGCAGAAATATCCTGCATAGCAGATATTTCAGTACAGCGACACCCTAGTGCTGTTGCATCACTCTGCAAAAACAGCTTGGAGCTATCGGAAAAAGGCACTTGAAATTAAAAAAAAAAGATCTCTGAACCGTTTAACATTGTCTTGTATGCTGAAATTTATTAAGCATTTGATTTTTCCCCCCCCCCCCCCCATGTATGCAGAGTGTTCTGTGGTATTGTTGGCTGTTTTTCTGGAGTTTTGATCCTTTAGATGGCGCAGTGCGTCTGACAGAAATGCCATCTTAATGAATCTTCATTCCCAAGGACTGCCTCAGTTGTACCATTAATGACAGGGGAAAAGCTGGATAATGTTGAAAAGGCATTTAGATCAATTGACTTTGGAGTTTGCAGAGGTGAGGTGGCCTGCTCTTTGCTGCCTGCTAGTCAAAGAAAAAAAAAAGGAGCTAGCTGAGGAATAGGGGTAGTTTTATATATCAAGGATGGAGACCATTGGCCCTGCACAAGTTTCGGATCATAACTCCCATGATTCTTTATCTCTAGCAGTGCTAGCTGGCATTACTGGGAATTGACATCTAAATCATCTGTAGGGTCAAAGATTTCCCACCTCTGGTTTATATGAAAGCTGGAAATGGTATGATAGATTCGTTGTTGCTTGGGGCATGCCACCTATGCCACTGTCTTCTTTGGTAAATAGATTTTGCCAAGTATTTGTACCATTTTGCGCAGGAAAATGTTGATGGAGGTAGGGAAGGGACTCAGAACAGAAGGGGGAGAGCTGATCTGACCCAAGCCTCTTTTTTTTTTTGGCTAATTGAGGCAGACATACATGAATCAATTTCAATAGTATCCAAGCCCTGTCAAATTGCTTAGGCTTCCAAACTAGAAAAATTCAATCTCCAGCACTAAATATAATAACAATGGATTGCTCTCAATTCAGTTCTGACTTATGGCAGCCTTTTTCCGGGGTTTTCTAGGTAGAAAGGGTTCAGAAGTAGTTTAACATTCCCTGTTTCTAGTGGGCTTTCGGGATCATGCAGCTTGCCCAAGATTGCACAAGCTGGCTGTTCTCCCAGGAGGCCTTTTTATAACCATGAGGACTACTAACCTCCTTTAAAGAAAAGTACATTCTGAATGCCATTTTTAAACGTTCTTCATATAATTTTTAATAATTACTATATAGCCAGGAGTGTTTGCTTTAAAGAAAAGAAAGAAATCATGGCGTGGATTTAGCTCCCAACATTACATGGTCCAACCCACTCCTGTGTGTTATAATTTGTGTTGATGTGTAGTCTGAATTCTGAATTGTTCAAACCCTTCGAGCCATCCATTTATATAATGCCCGGTGTTTTGTGTCTCTCTCCTTCATCTGTATCTTTAACAGGCTCTGCTAACATCAACGACCGCAGCATGCTGGGGAAACGAGACAGCGAAATGGCTGTCGTTGTGCAGGACACGGAAACCATTCCTTCTGTGATGGATGGCGAGGAATATGAGGCTGGAAGATTTGCTCAGTCCCTTCGCCTACAGTGCCTTAGGTACCCCTAGATATCCCAAGTAGGGCTGAAAGCCAATTACAGATATATTTGGTGAATGATGAATCATGTGAGTTTTATAATGTAATGCTACGAATGGCTTTAATAATAATCATGCGTCATCAAATCAGTTCTGGCTTACAGTGACCCTTTTCAGGATTTTTCCAGATAGAGAGTCCTCAAAAGTGGTTTACCACTCTTTCCTTCTGGGGGCATTTATTTATTTAATTATTTTATTAGATTTCTACCCCACCCATCTAGACAGATAGTCTACTCTGGGCGGCAATCTTGGGACTGTGCAGCTTTTGCCTTAGAGGCACAGTGAGGAATCGAACTCCCAACATCAGGCTCCACAGCCACATACTTAAATCACTGAGCTATTCAGACAGGCATGAATGGCTTTATTCCAAATAAATGAATATGGGATTACAGCCCTAGGTAAAGGTAAAGGTACCCCTTGACATTTAGTCCAGTTGTGTCCGACTCTAGGACGCAGTGCTCATCCCCGTCTCCAAGCCGTAGAGCCAGTGTTTGTCCGTAGACAGTTTCCGTGGTCACGTGGCCAGCGTGAGTAGACACAGAACGCTGTTACTTTCCCACCGTGGTGGTATCTATTTATCTACTCGCATTTTTACATGCTTTTGAACTGCTAGGTTGGCAGGAGCTGGGAGCTCACTTGCATGGATTCGATCTTACGACTGCTGGTCTTCCGACCTTGCAGCACAGAGGCATCTGCGGCTTAACCCGCAGAGCCACCACATCCCACAGCCCTAGGATTGCACTATTAATTGGTTAATCCATCAGTTAGGGGGAAAGGACACAGAATCAAATTACCAGATGAACAAGGATATGGCAGTTCCTCCCCCCCCCTTGCAGCTCTACCACAGACACTCAAAATCTGAGGGCCAGCTGTCCCATGGGGTAAAAGGAAGCTATGTTTTCAAATGGCAGACAGGGACACTGTTAGCAGCTTTTATACTTTGCATTGAATAAAAGGGCCATAGGTTTAGTCACTGGCATCTCCAGATGGAGCTGAGGAAGACAAAAGCTTTGAAAATGTACTCTTTTGTACTACAATGCCCAGCATCCCTCAGTATTTTCAATCTGGGACTGGTGATTGTCATTGGAAAGACAGCACAGCCAACAAAACAAAATAAAATGAAGCCATAAATTTGAACGGAGCCAAAAGCATTATGGAAACTTTTAGTGTTGTTAAAAATGCAAGATATGCTATTTATGGGGTTCCCAGTACAGTGTAGTGGATAGCGTGATGGACTAGGACTCTGGAGAACAGGGTTCAAATCCCCACTTGGCTGAAGAAACTCACTGGGGAGTGGAAGTGATAAACGCGCTCCTTAAAAATATCTATTTTACCTAGAAAATCCTATTAGGGTCGTTATAAATCGTTTCCAACTTGACAGCACAGAACATGCACACACATAGACACGTGCATGCTATTTATGCATCTGCATCTCTAAGTCCAGGAAAGAACTTGTGTTGCTTAACTATAATAGCCTATTCTTAATTTTATATGCCTATTTATGGCATTTATCTGTTGCTTTCCTGCCATGTATGTGGTCTGTGAAATTACATCCCATTAAAATATCATAAAAATGAACTATCAGAACCAGTCATTCAACACAGAGAATCATGAAACACCAAGGCAGCTATTGTTGAGAGGTGTTTTATTTTCAGACAAAAGGGGCCAAACTGAATAGCTCACAATGCATCCTGTTAACTTACATCTTGGATACCCACAGCCTCTTTGGCCAGCTGATATATGCCCACTAATAAAATCATCCCCTCTACTTAGCTATTTTTTAAAAATCCTCCTCATCATGTACTGACTTTGTCTTCCAACCTTTCCTTCATTGCGAAGCCTCTCTGGAATTACTGCTGTCATTGTTGGAGTGTGAAATACAATTAGCAAACCTTCTGAAATGGCAATGTCCATAGTACTGGCCAGAGAAGTGGCAAGATAGCTGCTAGAAAGTAAATTAAGCAAACACCTCTTTTGCATGTGTTGCTGCCTCTCTGAAATGCACACCTCCTGGATAACCCACATGGAATATGAGCAAATAAAAGTATCAGAAGAGAGTAACTGAACCTCAGGTTCAAAATCAGCTTCAAACAGTAGTTAGCTTGGGCTGGAGATGTTTCTCAAACGTTCCTAAATGCCTTTTTTTAATTCCTGTATTTTTGATTTTGAGAATGGCCATACAAATCTTCCAATATGATATACCTTCCCTGTTATTTTCTTTGTCCTAGAGTCGTTCTTGGCAGTTCAATAGACCTGAATGATATCCTAGATCCAATTAGTGACAAATTCTTCAAGGAAGTGTGGGTTGCTACAGCTGCAAGAAATGCCACCATTTTTGAAAAGGTGAGGTATTTATGGCTATTCTCCAGTGAAGCACATTAAGAGCAGTGCACTTGAGGTTGATATATAAGTGGCACTCTTTGCTTTTTGCTTTGTGTTTGTTCTCTGTTCAAGATGCCTAGGTTTTGTCAAAGAACTGTAATTCTGTGCTCAGAAGTTAAGACCAGTAAGCATTGGAAGGAACTCTTATCTTTTTCTTCTTCCGTCTTCCCTTAAATTAGGTTTTCCGATGCCTTCCCAGTGACCAAGTCAACAACTTAGCCCAGCTACGGGAGTTCATCACGGTACCAAAGATCGCTTGTGAGAATCCTGCTAAAGCATCAGAAGAACTCAAAAAGATCAAAGGATTTCTAGTCCAGTTCCCCTTTCGCTTCCTGGATGAAGAGAATTTGCTTCCTTCTGTTGGAACAAAAGAATCCATGGTGCCCATGGAGACTTGGACTTAAGAGGATTCCATCTTGGTGGAAATTGCTTTTTTTAATTTTAAAAAATCAAGGAAACAAGGAAAACAGGTTGGGTTTGTTTTTTTTTGAAAGAAGTAAAACACATCTGGAATGGATTGTGAGTACACAGGACCTTTTTGCCATAGGGGGAAAAGTCTGCGCTGATCCCCAAGTGCCTTTGGATGAAAGAATTTCAGACAATGAAATAGCAAGTTCAGGAGGAACAAAAGATAACTGACATGTTCTGCTCATTGATACAAGACAGCTATATCTAAGGGTATCGGGAGTCAAGGGAATGCAAGCCACTTTTTCTAAAAGACCACAGATCACATTTTAAGACCCTGCTGTTCTTCTGTGCATGTTTACTGTGCAAGGCTGGCGGCGCAAACAGAATTTTCAAGCTCTGTGATAAGCAACCGGATTAAGGCACCGTCCTTTATCATCATCGTTATTGGTACCAGACAGTGATTGGTACCCAATTTCTGCAATGATAACTAAAGCCACTGCTTATAGGAATTACCTCTCGTACTGAGAAAAGTGAATATGCATCCATATGTCTGCTCTAAAAGCAATGCACCGAATACTGAGCTCTGTGCTGTGAACATGCTTATGTTGTGATTATGTGGAGATGGTCCCATAGTGATTAGTAAGCTATTTCTGTTGGTTAAATTTTGGAGGCTATATTATCTAGCTAGATGCTCTTTTTCAACGACTACTTTTTTTTGATGTTCTGTGAATTGTAACAACTGCTGGGAAACGCTGCACGATGCCCTTTCAGCACAACTGTGATTGCTATCTGTTGAGTAGGTTGTAAAAGTTTGTCCGCAGCTTCTTTGCTTTTTAGTACTGTATTTAGAACAAGAAATATTCCTGCAGGGTTTACAGTTAGTGACAAGTCTCGGTGTGTTTTTACGGAATGCGTGAAACAGCTGCTAGCCCATATGGCTTGTGGGCAAATCCATTCAGCAATAGATGAGGTTAGAATCCTAGGGCTGTGGTGGAGGAGAGGGCCTTTAGCCCTGTTCAGATGTTCAGAAAACCATCAATTAGGAAGCATAAGCAGAGAGAGATTTCTAGCCCTGGCTCCTGCCTGTCCGTGGGGGAGGGGACTATCTGAACAGGAAAGCTTTTGCTAGATATGGGGCGTCTCTATGCATTTAGAGATCCTGAAAAATAAGAGTTGTGTACCGAGGCTCCACACGGAGCAGTCGCCTATTCCAATGGTCCCTCTTCAGGTAGAGACAGGGACACTTCCAAATTAACGTTTTTTGAACATCTGAATGGGGTTTTTAAGGGTCTCAGTATTTCTACAACAAAGCTAGCAAAGCAGTATCTTACTGCAAGTCACATTTCTTCAACAGCATTTCCTTTCTCCTATCGTTAACTATTATAGCTAATTTAAAACTGAAATACCAATTTCCCTGAAGTCAAGCTTTTGGGGCCACTGACAATTCAGAAATGTTGATAGCAGACAGAGACTGGAAACATTACATTTTGGGGAATGCAGTTCCTAGAACCCTGTATCTTCATACTGGCTGTGGTATTCCCCAGAGTTATAGTCCCCCAAAATCACTTTTTCTGTCTTTGGTAGTAAGCAATCTTTGGTTCTGTTGGCTAATGACCAGAAAGAGCAAACTCTCACACCTGAGCATATCAAAACTTTAGTTATAGCCTTTCTTTACTTTGAAGATTGTTTTACTTTTTTGCTTGGTGGAGATGCCAGCTCCACATGTGTGGTATCCCCACTGCTCAAGCTCCTACCAAACGTTTGTCTTTTTCTCTGAATTCAAACAGTGAGTTTTTAATGGGCCATATGGCCAAAATCCTATTGGGTGCAGTTTGCCTGCACAAAAGGAATGACATCATCCTCAGTGATAGATTCCTGCTGACCAAAATCTATCTTTTGCAATTTTGTGGTGCACATTATTTTGTTGCATCATGCGTGAGCCACGTGCACTCCAGCATGGCAAAAGAAAGACTTCCTTTCTAGCACTATTTTCTTCTGAACAAGCACAGGAACCTAATTCAATACCTGCCGCCATCTACTAGAGGAAGCAGACAGATGAATTTGTACTGTATCCCATAGCTCTAAAAGGTTATGGCAATCGTTTTTATAGACACACACATAAAGTATAACTTGTATTTCCATCTTCAGTTCAAACACTTTTTTGCTTCTATAGTAAACCATTTTATTAGTCATAGAACAGTGCCTACTTCATACTGATAAATGCAAAACATCAACATTCCCCAAGGGCAGGCCAACTGCCCAGCTTAATAGCAAGTTGCTAGTGTACCTGTTACTTCATGCTACAGATTAAGGGTATAAACAGAAATCATGTGCTTTCTTTACAGTCAGTGATTCATCAGTGTCCTTTTATCTTTCAATAATTCATGCACAGCAGCTTTTTAAGATAGAACCTGTGTGGTTGACGTTTGTCTCCCTTGAAGTGCTGCATATTGTTGCTGTCATTTTACTCTTGCTCAGGAAGTATTAATTTTTGCATTGATTCCATTGCAGTCATTTGAAGTGAAGTTCGGGAACCCACCCCACTTATTGACAAATCTGTTTAATGTAGGGGACTATTCCGATGTATTGGGAGAGGAATTGCCTTTGTGTTTCCGTTCTCTATCATTTTGCAGAAAGCTATTGTACTAAGTCATAGGGGGTGAAACTGTGACCCCAGATGCCAAAAATGATACAGGTTGCAAGGACAGAGAAAGAATATATAAATTTAGCTTGTCTGCCTCTCCTCTCCTACACAGATGTCTAGGATATGTGGGTCCCAGTGGGTCCCAGGACAGCCCCAAGATTCTCCCAACCTGTAACCATTGCAGAAGGACTAGTACTGGCTCTGAAAAGCTGCTTCCAATTAGAGTACTGGATAAGATAAACCCATGGGATGAGATGGCTGTATCTATAGTAATTTGATGTACGTCAGGAACAGGCAGATTTCAGATGTCACGGATTTACTTTCTTATTTGTGTTTTTTTAACATTAGAATGCATCCTATGCCCAGTTCATACTAATGGCTTGGGGGCAGGCATACATTCGGGGTTAAGTTACAGTACCCATTGGAGTGTGCTGTTGGTCCAGGGATTGGCTTTCAGTCAACTAAGATCATGGTTCTTTCACCCTTAAATCCATTACCAGTCCCCTCCCCAGCATTACTATTCCTTGCATTTAGATCATGTTTAGGGCAGGAGTGTCTTATGGTTACCACTCTGAAAGCAAAGGGAATCAAAACCTTATTGATCTACTATTGACTATACAGGAGTCCATGAATAGATTTCCATCTCTCTTTTGCCCATCTCTGATTCATATGGCCCGCAAGAACTGAACTGCATGTTGGTTTGCCTTTGTCATGCCAAGCATAAAGTTGGTGCAAGCTCAATATCTTCATAACCATTCCCTTTTTAAGAAGTTCACTTGGCATTACAGACTTTACTCCTGTATTGGCCCTGGAAGAGCCACTGCTGTTTGTGTGCCAGGATGGCATAAAATGGTGCATCTGCAGTGAAAAACAGTTTCTTTTTTAAAGGCTAGGATAATTTTTGACTAGCATTTGCCATGCTAGCAAAAGCTGACCTTTGGTGGGAATCTGTAACCCAGACTCCACAGTTCAGAAATGCCAAGCTATGTCTATGGGTGTGAATCTCAGCAATGTATTATGTACTATCACCTCAGCTGTAATAGGAACATTTTATACTAATTATAATTACCTTTGAACATCTCAGATTAAGGGACTGGGAGCATTATTAACCAAAATACCACATGGTCTTCCTCCCATATGGTCCTACATGCTCATTTAGGTCTTCATCACAAGTCTTGCTTCATGATTTCCCCACTGCTGTCTGATGTGCAGCTGGCGGCGCAGAGAACAGGGCCTTCTCAGTTGTGACACCCAGCCTATGGAATCAATCATGGACTTCCATTCCCTGTTGGTGTAGCCAGATGAAGATGACTCTATTCCAGTGTGGCTTTGGCATGAGTGAAAATCAAAGAGGTTCTCCCATTCTTTATATTCTAGGGTGGTTATAGTTATGCTGTCCTATCTGATTTTCTGTATCTCTCTATTTTTATCATTTGTTGTTATTTTATTTGTTGTTTTTACTGCTGATTGCTTGCTCTGTTGGGGGAGGAAGGGCAAGCTCAAATCAGTTTACTAAATAAATAAAGGTGTATTTTTTTAATAGACAGGAAGACCGTATACTTAGTTTTCTACTAGCCTCATGACTTTGGGGACCTTTATGAAAACTTGATTGCCCATCGCTGCTGTAATTGATAACACTTTAACGTCTGCCGAACCAAGACTCTGTGAGGTTGAAGGACAAAAAGCACTATTGATTGAGACAGTCCTGCAACCAGCACAGAATCAAAATGAAAGCCACAGGCTAATGGAATTCTAAGGTTCTTTCCGTCTGACTTTTTAGGGAGGGAGACAATGTCTCTCTGTTTTTTTCTTGCAATTGTCACTGAGCCCTTTGTTTTCCCAGCAGTGCTGTTTTCCTAAAATAGATGTTGATGCTGAGAATAATTATATTTTATTTGTCTCCATCCTTGACACGTAGATAATGGAAGGAAAACAAAGTTAGCTTTTTAATTGGCTGACTAAACTCCCTTCATTTAAATTTAGAGTTCTCTGAATAAACGCAGTGGCAATAGAAGCCTGTTCATTTATTTCTTTAAAGGGGCTGATAAAATTTTATGTATCTGTGCATCTACATGAAAACTGTGATGAATATGCCTTCTGTGAAGGATCTGGGCTTTCCATTTGTTTTCGGCTTTGGGTTTTGTTTATTTTTTTTTAATATTGCAAGTCTTGCTAATGGCTGCATTCATTGTTATCCTTCCTGCCTCTGCCTTTGTAAATGGGAATACTGCACTTATATGTTCATCACTTGAGAAAAAATATAATTATAATGTAATGTTAAGAAATGTTGGCATGATGAGTCTTCTTTCCAGAATCTAAGGCACTCAAAACCCCAGCCTCCTTTCATAATGGATCAAATATGATGTACTTTTCTTACTTACTTCATTTAAGGCCACAGCTAAGGTGATTTTATTTCAATATTAATTTGGCAACAAATAGGAGCATGCAGAAACTGGATTTGGTATGGCAGAGCAAAAAGACCTAACAAGAAATACTGGGTAGAGTACAATGTGCCCAAATTGTCTCCCGGTAATGCAAGAATAGGAATGCAGTAACAGGAAAACATATCAAACAGCCTTACCATAATAGTCCCCAGGTCCTTTAGTGACATTATAATTTAATTTAATTTAATGGCATTCCTTTGCCTTGCCTTAAGAAGAAGTATTTGTTGCCTGAAGGATGTTGTGAAAGAATAGAAGCACATAAAATGATGGTCTCTCTTCTCTCCCTGGGTGAGTATGAGATGCTGCTGGGTATCTAGGGCTGGACTACAAGAGAAAAAGATGACTTATATAGCTGGGGGCCTGATTCAGCAAGGCTGTCCCTACATTATATCATTACCTATGTTAGCTGTGGCTTCATGGAGTAGGTGGGAAGCCAGTTTTGCAAATCTTTTCAGCCCTGGACATCTGGAAAAGTTACTAATACTTCTCACCAAAAGCAACAACCTTGAGTAGCTGCATATAATCTGTTCTCACCCTGAGTCCTACTAGTTCTTGTGAGCCACAGAAACGAAAATTGAGGCGAAGCCATGTTAGCAGTTGGTTGCACTAAGAACAACTAGAATAATGTATTCTTGAAGGCTTTCATGGCCAGGATCTGATCGTTGTTGTGGGTTTTTCGGGTTCCAGTCTCTGTGGCCGGCATCTTCAGAGGACAGGAGTCAGAACTCTCTGCTCAGAGCACAGACAGAGTTCTGACTCTTGTCCTCTGAAGATACCGGCCACAGAGACTGGCGAAACGTTAGGAGAAAAAACCTTCAGAACATGCCCACAGGGCCCAAAAAACCCACAACAACCAACAGCTAGAATATCTTGAACCACTTTTAAAGGCCAATATATTTATTGTGATATATAGAGACTACAATCCTTTTCATCTGATTTGTGATCAAATAGCCTGTACTCTGTGAAAGCTTTGGATGCCTTTCTTAAATTTATTAAGTCTTTTTGGTACATAGACTCCATTTGCTCAAATTAATTGTTGCCAGAGCATTAGTTTGTTTTACTAATTCTGTTTATTTTATTTTATCTTATTTTTTATAGTCTGTGTTTGTAGCCAGTGGATTATTTGCTCTTAGATGAGCAGAGTGGGTATGAGATGGATTGGGCAAATAAACTCATCTGAGAATTTTATCCACGGACTTTGAGGAGGTTGAAGTCAACACAATTTATTATTGCAATTCAGCTTATGTTGAAAACACCAGGAGAGGGCTCGAACGAGACTGCAATTGATTCTGTGGTCTTCATTTTTAATAAAATGAAGACCACATTTTATTTAATAAAATAAAGACCACATTTTAATAAAACGGACACGGAAAAATCCAAGCAAGGCATAGATTTATTGCTCACCTCCTGGAGGAATGAAACCCAAAGCTGCTGCAACAATTTCAACATTGTTTTGCAAAATCACAAAATAACATCACGATCCATCTCCTCTCTCCGCTCCCTGTTTGCTAGAGAGCTGACCCATTCTTTCCATATCAAATTGAACAAAAGGAGTAAAGGAAACAGATCAAGAAAGGTGACCAAAGGTCCATCCTTAATCCTGGGTTGCTGTGATTTCTGTTTTCCAATGAAGTGTTTCCTTTGTGTCATGCAGATTTATATGATTATGGCCACTATGGTAACTATAATACAATGAGTTCCAGTCAGGGCCCATTATACAAGCCAAACTGGAAGCCAGACTCCTACTAGTCAACGAATGGTCTGGATGCCATAAAGAAATCAACATTTGTACAGCCACTACCACATTGTTTCAACCGCTGTTTCCACACGATGATTTGGTAGTAAACCACCATGCAAGCAGAAGTTGGCTAAGACCTTGTTTTAAGATTGTATTCTTCTTAACCTTTAGCTTACTTTTTATGATGTCAAGAGGTTTCTGTTAAACTGTACTGTGAAACGTATCAACGCACATGTAAGTGACACCCACGATCTTCCATGCACTCATTGTTCCCTATCAACAATACGTGTACTGCATTTGGTCATAAACAGAACACGGAAACGATACATTAAAACTTAATTTGTCATCCAACATTTATTAAATTTTTCACTGATCACCTTAAAATTGGCTATTTTAATTTTCAGGACCAGGAACATTATTTTTAAGTAACCAAGCAGGAGAAAGAGAAGGATCAACCCACTGCATTCATGCATTAGGAGAACCAGCTCACTGGAAGGGCTAACCCAACTACCTAACCCATCACATGATTTTACTTTGGCTGTTATGTATTAAGAAATCTGTCTTACTGTCAGGGGACTTGTAGTCCAGAAGAATTATCTTTCCGAAGCTCTTCTGCCAATTACTTTTTTTGCGTCACTCCATGACAGATAAGAACAATCTGCTTACCTCTTCATTTACTAATTTAAATCTATATTTTTACCCCACCTTTCTCCTTTAAAAGGACCCAAGGTGGATTACATAATTAAAAGACAATATTTAAAAGCTACAAATAGTAAGTGTACAAATATTTTTTAAAAATCATACAAATGCCACACTAAAAATGGTCAACAAAATTAATACCAAAAATAGGTTTTTGCTTCTTTCACCATTTTTTGTTTGCTTGCTTGCTTGTTTAAAATATGGGTCAGGATGTTAGGATGGAGGCTTTGTTCCACAGCTGCTTCATCCTATTTTGTTAAGCTTCCTTTCCACATGGGTACCTCACAGTCTGCCTTCTCCAGGCATCTCCCCCTTCATCGCTGGAACACACAGACACCCATCTTACACAATCAATCTATATTCTTTTCCAGGCAGCTTGTATGTCAGCTTGTCGCAATTTGTGTACCTTTCCTGAAAAGGCCCCGGTGCAAACAGAGGGATGGGTTTCTATAAGCACAAATCCCAAGAGAGCAGTAGTAGAATACTCATTTTTTTTAATTGGGAAAATCAAACGTGACAGGGAGAAAATTGGTTCTACCATTTTGATTGATCACAGGGAATATTTAGCAGGGAATTATTACAGTGGGACTTCTCATTAATGTCGTTGTTCAGATGGAAATTAATTTGGGAGATTTTTTAAAAATCCTATAGAGAGAAATGGCTCATGCATGTACAGGCACACATAGAGAAACATACACAGAGACACACAGACATATGTATATACATGTGCATACATATAGATCTATCTATTTATCTCTCTCTCTCTGTGTGTGTGTGTGTGTGTGTGTGTGTGTGTGTGTGTGTGTGTGTGTGTGTGTGTGTGTGGCGTGCTCAGGTCCATGGGGTCATGAAAAGTCAGACACAACTTAATGACTAAACAACAACATCTATAGATACACATAAAAAAGTAGAATTTCTATATCTATATAGCTCAGTTCTTTAGGTCTCTTGCTGTGGAGCCAGACGTTGGGAATTCAATTCCCCACTGTGCTTCCTTGATAGAGACTGGACTTGATAATCCATAGGGCCCCTTCAAGCTCTGCAGTTCTAAGATGATGATGATGATGATGATGATGATGATGATGTTACGTAGACTCCTACCATCCATCAACTGCCATATATATCTCCTGTCTCTGTGTGTAACATGTGATGTGCCGTTAATATGATAGAAAGGCATAAACAGAAAGACATGTATGATCAAGCAAGGTTCTGAAGAACAAGATGCTTTATAAAGGGACATAGAAATTAAAAGTTTTTCTTTGGCAAGCCTGGTTTGAATAATTAAAAATATCTTTTGAAGTCAAAGGGAACTCAAACTGCAGAACGATAAGAGAAATCTGGGGAAGCGTGATAGTGTTATCTAGAGACTAGTCCATCCCAAGAGGAAAAAACAAGAGTGGTTAGCATGCTGCTCAACAGCACAGCTAATGGCTTTTTCTGGGTTGTGTGGCCCTGCTGAGAAATCTTGCTGCAGCTAAAGCTTAATGCATTTAATCAACCTCAAGAAATGCTTAGTGATAGGTGGGTAGCTGTTGCGGACCCCATGGCTGGAAATACCTGGACTAGGGGAAGAAAATCTCATCCAGAGGTGTATGTAAGGGAAGCTGCACAAGCTGGTTACTGAAGCTGTACAGACTCCTATCCGTGGGTGGGAGGAAATGTAAATAAATGTGCAGGCATCAGATGTAGCTAAGCGGAAATCAAGTTAGCTGATAAAACCTCCCTGAAATGGTGTTGCTGGACACAGCCAATATACCAAAACATTCTGTTGCTTGAGGTCTGGAATCAAATACCCCCACCCATGCACAATCTACTCCAATGAAGGCACATAGGATCAAAAGCCAGCCACGTTCTTTGGCCAGGGGAAGAAAAGACTCCCATAACCATTCTCCCTGTCCTGTCCTCCGTGACTGAGGCATTCGCTGAAATGTGCCCTCCCCCACAAAGTTACATTTCCAACCTCTGAAATAAAGAAGATGTAGAGGTGGAGCTAAGATAAAAGGGCTTGTAAAAGTAATAATAATAATAATAATAATAAACCTTTATTGGCATACAGCAGAAGGAGCCGCAAAATAAATACAGTAAAATACGCATACAGGGTTCGTTGCCTGCGAGTGGGGTGCAGAGAAAAACAGCGTTAAGCCCCTCATTTTAGAGAGGGCATGTTGCGACGTCTCTGAATAATGGCGTGAACATATCGAGCAGTTGATACAGTAACTTCCTTGTTAGTACCATTCAAGAGGTATTGGGTTTTCTTTAGGTCATCCCATCGCGTGTGGGAGGGGGGAAAGACCGACTGGTGGAGCAGGCGGATATCCATGTACAAAATGCAATGAAACAGCATATGATGCAGAGATTCAGTTTTTCCCTGGCCACATGGACAGGTTCTCAGGTCTGTAGGTAGGCCCAGGTATCTGCCCTGCACTAGATTTGATGGAACTATGTTGCATCTGGCGAGAGTAAATGCCCAGCGCTCTAGTGGTTGTTCAAGAAAATATAAGTAGCTTGGGCTGCGTCCGAGAGTGAGTGAGAGGTGAAGA